CCCCCCGACCTCTCAGGCCATTTAGGTGTCTTTTCTGTGAATCTCACCAGCGCCTGGATTGTTTACTCTTCTGACACTCCCCAATATGTGTGCACGTGCACACACACATACATGCATGCACACATGCGTGCGCACACGCACACACACACATGCACACAGGCACGCACACACACATGCATGTGCGCACATGCACACACGCACGCACACACGGGCACGCTGGGCAGTGTCTGCCATGATGTGGGCGTGGTGTGCAGCTCTGTGGGGCAATGGTGGAGCGGCCAGGCTGGGGAGGGTGTCTTGGGGTACTTGGACCTGTCGGGGACTCACAGCTACCTCTGTGTTGACAGTGGCCCTCCTCTGTCCCTTTCAACTGAGCAGAGTCTGGAAGATAACGAAGTGGCCCATGGTGGCTCCAGCCCCAGCCCCAGCCCCGGGGGTGCTCAGGGCGCCCCTCCCACACAGGGTTGGAGGGTGATCTCCGAGACCCTCATTGGAATTGGGGTGGGGGCCTGTGTCTGTGTCAGCCCCTCTCCCAGGCCACAACGGGGTGCAGAGCAAGTGTGGCGTCCTTTCCTCCAAGGGTCCCCCTCTGGTCCAGCTGACACCAAAATAGCTCAGTCAAGCTCCGTGGGCTGCAGTCCGGGTTCCCACACGAGCCGTGCCCACCTGCACTCGTGTACCACCCCAGCTGCCCCCCACCGCTGGCTCACAGCTCTGAATTCAAAGGCCAGCTCCACCCACAGCCCCTTTCACAGCCCCTCCTCTCAGCTGCTGGCCAACCTATTCCCAGAGACCTTCAGAAGCTCAGGACCAGCCCATGTGGATGGGTTGGGACACAGGAAGATGGGACCCTGGGCCGAGGCCGTGAGCTGGGAGGGAGGGAAAGGGGTTATTTTCACTCTTGGCACACTTGGGTCCCTCCCCTCCCCTCCCCTCGGCAAAGGGGTGAATGAGGTCTGCTCTGGGGAGCGCTTTCTTTGCAGGGCTGTGTTGGGGCCGAGCCAGGAAACCTGACAAGGGCGGGAGGGGAAGAGTGAGGGAAGGAGAGGAGAGGGTCTGTGGTCTGCAGGTGGGATCTGGGCTCGCGGTTCTGCTGTCGACGATTTGGAGTGTTTCTTCCACCCAATCAGCTGCATAAGTGTTTCCATGAGGAAGGGCTGATGTTCCCACTTGATGGAGATGCTCCTGAGACCCTGGTCGGCCTGGCCGGGGCCCAGGAGCGGTGGAGGGACCGGGTCTTTGCTGAAGCATTCTCTGAGTTTCATGTGGTCGTGACTGTGTTCAGCAGCCCCTCTTCCTCCACTTCTGGATGGAAAGAGGCAGGGTTTCCATGTCAGCTGGGGCTGGAGGTCCTGGGGCTCCCGGCTCCCAACCTGCCCTTCTATCCACCCGCCTCTGCGGGTCTCTCCCTGCTGCTGAGCTTGGAGTCCTGCAGACGCAGCTGGTGGCCAGAGACTCAGGGAGATGACCCGAAAGTTCACAGCCCACAGCCAGCTCCACCACCACCTGGCGAGGCCACATGGCCAGGCCGGGCCTCAGTCTCCTTATCTCTGAAATGGGGATGGTGGAGTGTTCCTGGCGGTCTTCTAAGTGCGCAGAGCTAACCCAGAAGCTGAAGGCAGCGACAGCAAAGGCTCACCCGCATAGCCCTTGGCTCGTGGGATCTGCAGAACGGTGGCGGGGGCATTGTGTCCCCCTTGGCTTTCTGCATTTCTCTGGCTGCAGGAGGGGTCAGCAGGAGGTGCTGGGAGTTGATGTCCCTGAATGGCCCCCAGCCAGGGAGATGATAGGCAGGTGTCTCTCCCGAGGTGTCCTTCCCAGGATGACGGCTAGAGCCTCACAGAGGCCTGGGGTACTGAGCCCCCTTGCCTGCAGCAGAACCCCCCCCATGAAGGCCCATTCCTGTCCCTGTCCCTCCCCAGCTGCTCCTGCTCCTCACGGCACTTCTGGGGGTCCCACCTGCATCTGCATCCCTGCTTTCAGGGGAAGCCCGGCCAGGAAAGGCGATTGCGGGTTTACCACCCTGACCCTCAGAGAGTGGAGGAGGCAGGATAGAGGCCAGGCCCAGCTCTGTGAGTGCTGACTCCAGTGTGTACAGGGGCAGTGGGGTGTCAGCACTGTCGGCAGCTTTTTGGCTGAGGTCCCTTTAGAGAAACTGGGAATGGTGGGTGGGGGAGGGAGTTAGGTGGGGCTTCTAGCTCCTGCGACCCCCACTGCATCCCCACCCCGAGATAGCTGGGGAACCAGGATGGTCCTTGACCCCTTGCCCCTGGACTGGGCAAGCCGAGACCCTTGTGGCTGGAGGGACTGTGGTGGCTTGGCTGACATCTCATGGACACCAGGTCGGCTCCTTTGAACCATCTCACTTGTGCAAAGTTAATGTCGTGTCAGTAACAGCTGGAAACCTCACAGGAGATTAAACATTAAATGGTGTGTGCTTGGAAATCTGGTCTCGTGTCCTGGGCCAAGGGTCAAGGTTGTGGCCCTTGGTCTTCGCCTAGAGGTTGTTTCCTAACAGACAGGTTTTCTAAGTGGCCATGACCGAAAAGTGACGAGCCAGGAGCTCTGCCTCCCAGGGTCTCTGATGCGCCCCTGAGATGAGCCAGTCCCTTGAAGAAGCTCCCAAATGCCCCCACGGGGATAAGAGTCTCTGGGGTGGGGGCCGCTTGTGCAGCACAGGGCCGGGGGCTCTCCAAAGACTTGCCAGTTTCCCAGGGTTGCGTCTGGCAAGCCTCCTTCCCAGGAAGGGGTAGTCAGTCCCCATCCAGATGTGGGGATCCTGTGGCCTGGGGCTGGGGACAGCAGGAGGGCACCTTCCCCATGGCCTAGGAGTCATCCTCAAAGAAGGTGCCAGGTGTCACATGTGGGTCCACAGAGGAGAGGGAAGGCAGCTCACCAGGCCAGAATGACGGCCTGCCGGGGCCCAGAACCCCTGGTGGGTGGGTCACGAAAGGGAGCTCTGGCCATTCCTCCCCCTTCCCTCACTCCCTTCACTTCTTCCTCTGCAAACATTTTGCAAAAGCATCGTCTCTTGTATTGGGTCTGTGTGGGGATGCTGATGTGAGCAGGACAGGATGGGCCTCCGCCCCTCCAGAGAGCCCCCAGTCTAGAAGAAACAGACCAAGAAGGCTGTTGAGATGCAGCGTGCGAAGTGCTTCTCAGGAACACGCAGGAGGCATTAGCCTTGGGCTGCATCTTGAGGACAGGTGGGATTTGGATATTTAGGCTGGAGGGAAAGATGGTGCTTCTATAACATGCAAAAGTAAGGGGATAGGAAGCAGCAGGGAAGGCTGGCAAGGGCTCAGCAGGAAGTCCCTCCTGAGACGGTGCGGGACAGTGCACTATACAACCTGGGCACGGGGTCCTGCTGGCTAAGTTCCATCCACGCAGAATGCCTGTACCCTATGTTTTACAAGTGTCTGTTTATGTGTCTGTGTCTGTCTCAAGGGCAGACACCAGGTTGGTGCATCTGTACCCTCTGGGACTGAGCAGTAAGTCACGTGATAGGTGCTGAGTGAATTCAGAGTGGGCAGATGGATGAATAGATGGATGGGTGGGTGGATGGAAGGGTAGATAATGGGTGCCTGGGTGGGGGGGTGTCAGGATGGCTGGATGAATGGATAGATGGATGGGCGGATGGATGGAAGGGTAGATAATGGGTGCCTGGGTGGGGGGGGTGTCAGGATGGCTGGATGAATGGATAGATGGATGGGTGGGTGGATGGAAGGGTAGATAATGGGTGCCTGGGTGGGGGGGTGTCAGGATGGTTGGATGAATGGATAGATGGATGGGCGGATGGATGGATGGGTAGATAATGGATGCCTGGGTGGGGGGGTGAATGGATAGATGGTTGGATGAGTGGATAGATGGATGGGTAGATAATGGATGCCTTGGTGGGGGGTTGTCAGGATAGTTGGATGAATGGATAGATGGATGGGCGGATGGATGAAAGGGTAGATAAATGGATGCCTGGGTAGGTGGGTGTCAGGATGGTTGGATGAGTGGATAAATGGAAGGGTGGATAGATGGATGGGTGGATGGAAAGAATGAACATGTAGATGGATGGATGGGTGGGTTGCTGAATAAATGGTGGGTAGATACATAAGTGGGTGGGTGGCAGGATGGATGGATGACAGCTAGATAGACAAGTAGATGGATAGATGGATGCATAGGTAGATAGAGGTGTGGGTTGATGAATGAATGCTAGGTAGATATATAAATGGGTTGGTGATAGGATGGATGATAGATAGACAAGTAGATGGACAGATGGATGGGTAGGTACCTAGATGGGTGCGTGGATGGATGAATGGTAGGGTAGATGGGTGGATAGATGGGTGGATGAAGGCTGGTAGGGTGGGTATGTAAGTGGGTGGATGGATGGTTGGTGGGGTAGATATATAAGTGGGTGGATGGATGGTTGG